ACCATCTCATCCTTTGCCGTCCCCGTCTTCTTTGACCTTCAATCTTTCCCAGCATCAGGGTCTTCTCCAGTGAGTGCTCCCTTCTCATTGGGTGGCCAAAGTATTTGAGCTTCAGTTTCATTATCTGGCCTTCCAGGGAACAGTCAGGGTTGATTACTTTTAGGATTGACTGATTTGATCTCCTTGCAGTCCAAGGAACTCTCAAGAGTCTTCTCCAGCACCATAGTTCAAAAGAATCTATTCTTCGGCGCTCGGCCTTCCTTATAGTCCAACTCTCGCAGCCATACATGACTACTGGGAATACCATTGCTTGGACCATGCGGACTTTTGTTGGCAGGGTGATGTCTCTACTTTTTATCATGCTGTTTAGGTTCACCATCGCTTTCCTCCCAAGGAGCAGGCGTCTTTTAATTTCATGGCTGCAGTCACAGTCTGCGGTGATCTGGGATCCCAGGAACGTGAAGTCTGTCACTACTTCCACGACTTCCCCTTCTATTTGCCAAGGAGTGATGGGGCCGGATGCCATGATCTTAGTTTTTTTGATGTTGAGCTTCAAGCCCACTTTTGCGCTCTCCTCTTTTACCCTGAGCAAGAGGCTCTTGAGGTCCTCTTCACTTTCTGCCATCAGAGTGGTATCGTCTGCATATCTGAGGTTGTTGATCTTTTCCCCAGCAATCTTAATTCCCGCTTGTGATTCATCCAGGCCAGCATTTCGCATGATGTACTCTGCATATATATTAAATAAGCAAGGTGACAGTATACATCCTTGTCGTACTCCTTTTCCTATGCTGAACCAATCAGTTGTTCCGTATCCGGTTCTAACTGTCGCTTCTTGGCCCTTATACAGGTTTCTCAAGAGACATGTGAGGTGGTCTGGTACTCCCATCTCTTTAAGGACCTGCCATAGTTTGTTGTGATCCACACAGTCAAAAGCTTTAGCATAGTCAATGAAGCAGAAGTAGATATTTTTCTGGTACTCTCTTGCTTTCTCCATAATCCAGCGAATGTTGGCAATTTGATCTCTAGTTCCTCTACCTCTTCGAAACCCAGCTTGTACTTCTGGCAGTTCTCTATCCACGTACTGTTGAAGCCTAGCTTGTAGGATCTTGAGCATGACCTTGCTAGCGTGTGATATGAGTGCAATTGTGCGATAGTTTGAACATTCCTTGGCATTGCCCTTCTTTGGGATTGGAATGTATACTGATCTTTTCCAATCCTGTGGCCACTGTTGCGTTTTCCAAATTTGCTGGCAAATGGAGTGCAGCACTTTAACAGCATCATCTTCTAAGACTTTGAATAGCTCAGCTGGAATACCATCACCTCCACTAGCTTTGTTGTTAGCAATGCTTTCTAAGGCCCATTTAACTTCACATTCCAGGATGTCTGGCTCGAGGTCAGTGATTATACCGTCGTGGTTGTCAAGGACATCGAGGTCTTTCTTGTATAGTTCTTCTGTGTATTCTTGCCATCTTTTCCTAATCTCTTCTGCTTCTGTTAGGTCCCTACCGTTTTTGTCCTTTATCATGGCCAGCTTTGCATGGAACGCTCCCTTGATTTCTCCAATTTTCTTGAAGAGATCTCTAGTCCTTCCCATTCTATTGTTTTCTTCTATTACTTTGCACTGTTCATTCAGGAAGGCCTCCTTATCTCTCCTTGCTGTTCTCTGGAAATCTGCGTTCAGTTGGGTAAATCTTTCCTTTTCGCCTTTGCCTTTCGCTTTCCTTCTTTCCTCTGCTATTTGTAAAGCCTCATCAGAAAGCCACTTTGCTTTCTTACATTTCTTTTTCTTTGGGATGGTGGTGATTGCTGCCTCCTGTACGATGTCACGAACCTCTGTCCATAGTTCTTCAGGCACTCTATCTATCAAATCCAGACCCTTGAATCTATTCTTCACCTCTACTGTATATTCATCAGGGATGCGATCTAGGTCAAACCTGAATGGCCTCGTGGTTTTCCCAATTTTCTTCAGTTTAAGTCTGAATTTTGCAATGAGTAGCTCATGATCTGAACCACAGTCAGCTCCAGGTCTTGTTTTTACTGACTGGATAGAGCTTCTCCATCTTTGACTGCAAATTATATAGTCAATCTGATTTCGGTGTTGCCCATCTGGTGATGTCCATGTGTAGAGTCGCCTCTTAGGTTGTTGGAAAAGGGTGTTCGCTATGACCAGTGTGTTCTCTTGACAAAACTCTGTTAACCTTTGCCCTGCTTCATTTTGCTTTCCAAGGCCAAACTTGTCTGTTATTCCAGTTACCTTTTGACTTCCTACTTTAGCATTCCAGTCCCCTATGATGATGAGGACATCATTTTTTGGTGTTAGTTCTAGGAGGTGTTGTAGGTCTTCATAGAACCGGTCCACTTCAGCCTCTTCTGCATCAGTGGTTGGGGCATAGACTTGGATTACTGTGATGTTGAATGGTTTGCCTTGGAATCGGACAGAAATCATTCTGTCATTTTTGAGATTGTATCCCAGTACTGCCTTTTGCACTCTCTTGTTGACTATAAAGGCCACACCATTTTTTCTACGAGATTCCTGGCCACAGTAGTAGATATAATGGTCTTCTGAGTTAAATTCGCCCATTCCTGTCCACTTTAGTTCACTGATTCCTAGGATATCGATGTTCAGTCTTGCCATCTCATTTTTGACCACGTCAAGCTTACCTTGATTCATAGATCTTACATTCCAGGTTCCTATGTAGTATTGTTCTTTGCAGCATTGGACTTTCCTTTCACCATCAGACACATCTCACAGCCGCTTTAACCACCTGCGCAACAGTGGCCATAGTGACCCTCCAGAGGCGGCAAGCCTGGCTGCAGTGGGAGGGGGCCTCTTTGTGCGCATGCGCCGTTGGGTGCTTGTGCGCATTCTGTGGAGACTTGGGGGGAAAAAACCCTGTTCGCGATGGGACATGGGTGGGTGCCGGATGCCATGGGATTCCACCGGAAACGCGATCAGGCGCCCACCCTTGTCCCACGGTTTCCGGAAACTAGTACCTCGGACGTACTAGATTTTTACCCTGCATCTTCGGCGGGAAGCCTCGGGTTCGCCATGGGAACTCTACGCTTCCCAGATGTGGCGCTGTGATCGCGCCCGGAAAATCCGCCTATCTTCCGTCTCTCTAGCGTGGCTAATGTTCCGTGTGAACGCAGCCTGTGCTTGGCAGGCATCGTGGAATGCTACTTGTACAAACAGGACAAGGAAACCGAACAGGGACAAATATCTTTTTATTTCTCTGTACGCAAATCTGAGAAGCCAGAACTCATATCAAGTGGGCTTTCTGGAAAACCCAGAACTGGGAAAAACGTGAAGAAAATTTCCTAGACGATTATCCGACATCCTAAATGGAGGATGAGGTGATCTAGCATGTTTATTCTGACTTTATATTTAGTAAGCAAATCTCAGAAGTATTTTGTGCTAATTTTATGTCCCAATAGCAAGATACTTGATCAGAAATGGATAAGAAAGAACACAAATCATGTGTGGTTTAACAGATATATTCAAAAAAATTATTTTGAATGGGAAATTACTTGTAAAAAATGGGAATGGGAAAATACTTGTAAAAAAATTAAAGATCTCATCTTGGATCTGACGCAGCATTTCCATGGGCAGGATTTACCCCCACAGACTGTGACTATCTTCCTGCTACAGTGGCAAATACTGCAGTGGGGGGGAGAGGGAACCGGGGAAGAGAAACAGCATTTTGTGTGGCTGCAGTGGGAGAGCGAGGCTAGAAAGTCACATCCGATTGGCAGAGATCTGTCTGTCCATGGAAATGCTCTGCTGGGACCAGGCCAATACAGCATGTACTGTAATTCCTTACACTGCTTAAATTTAAGCAGGGGGGACGACGACACCCTAAAGGCACTGAAAACTGTTGACACTAATTTTAGCACACCCAAAAAATTCTGCATGACCTACCCCAGACATGGTTGGCCACTCATCTAGTTCAACAGAATTTAACTCTCACCCACATGGGTCACTGGGGCACTCCATTGTTTGCACTGCTTGCTAGTTCTATGTCAGATTGCTGATTACAATATCTCTTCCACCATGAGAGAGGAGACATATAAATAAGAATTTTAGCTCGGGTTCTGATTTGATTATCACAGCCAATGATTTTTCCCCCCTTGGATGAATATATAATTTGCAGTTTCATCCACTCCCCCGCCCTGTTGCACTGTTTCAAAAAAAGCCAAAATCTGATCAGGCAGCAGGCAGGCTATAAATAATACAGGTACTTTCTCAATCAAGCCCCAAAGATAATCACCCGAAAAACACGAATCGCAATTGTCATGATTTGGGCTGTGCCACCAGAGGCCTACTAGGCCCGGAGAGCCTGGCTAGCAGTAGGTGAGGCTGGGCCTACAACTCCCAGAAGCCCCTGAGAGATTTGGAGCCAAAATTGACCAATAGGGAAGAAGAGGGCTGGGGAACAAAAGAGCTGGTGCCAGAGCAGAAGCTGTTCTTTCTACCAGAAGGCAGAGCCAGAGGAAGGCTGCTGCAGGAAAAAACCTCTCATCCTGAGGGAAGGGTGAGTAGTCTAGTGTCACTTGGAATAGTGAGCTAGGGACAGTATATATTTAGACGCATTAGGGCATTTGATTTCTTTTCTTTTCACCCACTTACTGTTATTATTTTGCACCTTGTTGTTTGACCACCTATAAAATAAACCTTTTCCTTGTTACACTCTGCCTTTTCCTTGTTACACTCGGCCAAAAGGGAGGCCTGAAGGTCTTGGGAGGGTGTTCTGGGCCTTCTCAAGGGAACCTAAATCCAGAGTGGTGGCAGCATCAGGTGACACCCCATTTGAGCCATGACAGCAATTCTGAAACTGCCGGACCTGCCTAAATATCGTATTGACAGTGGCATCCATTGATTTTTATTAATTTTTGTGAAACAACCGTTAGAAATGGAAAGCATTTCCACAAAAAAATAAAGCACTGACACCTGGTATAAGCACATCCCAGAATCAGTCATCCATTTAATGTACAGGACATACCTCAAAAAAGTTTTGGCTTCTGCTAAGTGAGGTGTCACAAGCAAAAAGTCGTCTGTTAGACGCATCAGCAACCTGGAATGTAAAAAATATGTTATAAACCTCCCTGAGCATTCCCCCCCCCCCGAGGAATGCCCCGTGTAAAACCTAAGATCCCACAACTCCTGGTTAAGTGTTAATATTTACATCAGGTTGTGTGTGTGTGTGTTTATTCTTTGGTAACGACCTTCCACGTGTTGAAGAAAGCACCTCCTGGTATGACTTCAACTTCTTCTTACCCTTCTGAACGTGTTTGGACGGAGTCAGGGATCTGCTCTCTTCCACACTGCCTGTACTAACGGACTATCAAGTCAGTCAGCATGAGGTGATAAGGTGGGAGGGGGCAGATAACGTCAAGCTCTCAAGACTCTGAAATCTAGTGTCTGTCTTTCTGATGACGGTGAGGAGTCACATGGATCGGATGAATGTTTTCACTTCAGCTCTGCCTTCTTCGGAGGCGGTTCGGAAGCGCTTCTCGGAATCAAGGCCAACTTATGAGTGTCTCAGGTAGTTGGATCTGAGGGAGGAGCTAATTACACAGACACCACCAAGGGTGTAAAGGTAAAGGTCTCCCTTGCTCGAAAGCCAGTCGAGTCCAACTCTAGGGTTGCGGTGCTCATCTCCGTTTCCAAGCCGAAGAGCCAGCGCTGTCCGAAGACGTTCCCGTGGCCATGTGGCCGGCATGACTAAACACCGAGGCGCACGGAACGCTGTTACCTTCCCACCGAAGTGGTACCTATTTATCTACTTGCAATTTCTTGCTTTCGAACTGCTAGGTTGGCAGGAGCTGGAACTAGAGACGGGAGCTCACTCCGTCATGCGGCAGTCGGGTCTCGAACTGCTGAACTACCGACCTTCCACAGCCTGCAGTTCAGCGTCTTAACCACTTGAGCCACCGCAGCTCCTACCAAGGGTGTAGGGCCCCCCTTTTCTTGCCTTCTAGCAGACATTACAGCTGGGCTTCAGGCACCATGAGAGCCTTCTCCCAAAGGGCCCCCTTTAACCGGGAGGCTCTCTCTTTATTTGTTTATTTAATCTGATTTTTACCCCACCCCATCCCGCAAGTGGGTTCCGGGCGGCTTACAAAACATGGGCCTTTGGGGTAAATGGCCTGCAAGCCGCACAAGCATTAACATGATGGGGCTTGTCCAAACACAGCAGACCCAGGAAATGTTCATCAGACGGTGCCAGTGAGACGATGACTGACTGGACTGAAGCCTCCAAAGAAAGAATTCTCCTCAGAAGGAAAATCTCCTCTGAGGAAAAGAAGAAAGCTATGGCATGTCCTATCTCCACAGTGGCGAAGGATGGACTGAGGGAAGGAGCGTTCCATGCCCTTGGTCATTTGTCCGTTTGGGTGAGACGGTTTGGGCTGAGGGGGGGGAGGGGAGACATGCCTAGTTCTGTAGAAAGCACTAGAAAGAAAGCTAGTAACCTTCTGCACCTCTGTGGTCGGCCTGCACAGAAGCCACAAAGATGGATTAGTTGTTCCAAGAGGTCACATGAGTGGGCTGCGATTGGCTCTCCAGCTTGGCCCACCTCCCCAAGTTTTCAGCCATACAATATGCTCCTTATCAACTGCCCGTGATGGGAATTCCAAGACGCTTCAAAGAAAATGCAGTTTTCGGGGCTAAGAAAGACTGATACCATACCCATCTTCCTGCACACCATGCAGTAGCTTCTTTTCCATGTCTCCGTAGCAGAGACTGCAAAGAAAAGTTGACAAAATGGAGCCCTGGGGGATCCCGCAGCACTGGACATAGTACCTGGCAAATATCAGGAAACAGAAGTTCACCGTCACAAAATCTCAGAAGCGACAGAAGGACTAACAAGAGCTTTGCTTTTGAACATAAGAGAAGACAATGTTGGATCAGGTCAATGGCCCATCTAGTCCAACGCTCTGTCACACAGTGGCCAAAAATACCAGGTGCCATCAGGAGGTGCATCAGTGGGGCCAGGGCACTAGAAGCCCTCCCACTGCTGCCCCCCCCCAGCACCAAGAATACAGAGCATCACCTGCCCCAGCCTGTGAGTTCCTATCTATACCTTGTGGCTAATAGCCACTGATGGACCTCTGCTCCATATGCTTATCCAGTTCCCTCTTGAAGCTGCCCATGCTTGTAGCCGCCACCACCTCCTGCAGCAGTGAATCCCATGTGTTAATCACTCTTTGGGTGAAGAAGTACTTCCTTTTATCTGTTCTAACCCGACTGCTCAGCAATTTCATGGAGTGCCCTAATTACAATGCATTAAAAGGTACAAAGGGGGTCCTATCCAGTGAGAGTACAGCAGCACTTGCCGAAGCTAAGTTTCTACCTCTGCCCACTTCTGCAACCCCCAAAAAATGATGGATTCCTGGAAACAGTAATAAAAAACTGCACTCTGGATTCCTGGAAACAGTAATAAAAAACTGTGCACTCTCAAATTGCAACCAACTCATGGCAACCCCAGGATCACGGGGTTTTTAAGGCAAGGGATGAGCAGAGGCAGTTTGTTTTTTCCTGCCTCTGCACAGCAACTTCGGTCTTCCTTGGTGGTCTCCCATCCAACTGCTCACTATGGCCAACCTCGCGTTGCTTCCGAGCTCAGGTTGGTCTGGGCTATTCAAGCTGTTCTGGGAATCGGACAGGATACCTACACTGCCTGCACCACAGTCACATGCTCTGTCAGAGGATGGTCTCTTAAGATACCTCCCTTGCAGAACTCTATATTACACTGCCTGCACCACAGTCACATACTCTGTCAGAGGACGGTCTCTTAAGATACCTCCCCTTGCAGAACTCTATATGGTAGGGCATTAAGGTGTGCCAACACAAAGGCATGCCTATAGCAAGGAACAAGGGGAATTAGTTAACACTCCTTAAAAGGTAAAGGTTCCCTTGCTCGAAAGCCAGTCAAATCCGACTCTAGGGTTGCGGTGCTCATCTCAGTTTCAAAGCCGAAGAGCCAGCACTATCCGAAGACGTTTCCGTGGTCATGTGGCCGGCATGACTAAACACCAAGGCGCACGGAACGCTGTTACCTTCCCACTGAAGTGGTACCTATTTATCTACTTGCAATTTCTTGCTTTCAAACTGCTAGGTTGGCAGGAGCTGGAACTAGAGACGGGAGCACAAAGGCATGCCTATAGCAAGGAACAATAAAATACAAGCAATAATCAGGAAGCTCTCCAGCTGGAAAAATACCAGCAAATTAAGTAGAACATCAACATTGTGCTCTACAGATTGTATTGTTATAATCATATATAGACACTTCTTAATCGTTCTCATTGCTTCCTGTCTGGTTAGTGAAGCTGTTGTTGTTGTTCAGTCGCACAGTTGAGTCTGATTCTTCAAGACCCCGTGGACCACATCATGCCAGGCACTCCTGTCCTCCGGCGTTTGCTCAACTTTGCGTTTGCTGCATCAATAACACTGTCTTACCATCTCATCCTTTGCCGTCCCCTTCTTCTTTTACCTTCAATCTTTCCCAGCATCAGGGTCTTTTCTAGTCCCTTCTCATTGGGTGGCCAAAGTATTTGAGCTTCAGTTTCAGTATCTGGCCTTCCAGGGAACAGTCAGGGTTGATTTCTTATAGGATTGACTGATTCGATCTCCTTGCAGTCCAAGGGACTCTCAAGAGTCTTCTCCAGCACCATAGTTCAAAATAATCTATTCTTCGGCGCTCGGCCTTCCTTATGGTCCAACTCTCACAGCCATACATGACTACTGGGAATACCATTGCTTTAACCATGCAGACTTTTGTTGGCAGGGTGATGTCTCTACTTTTTATCATGCTGTTTAGGTTTGCCATCGCTTTCCTCCCAAGGACCAGGCATCTTTTTAGTGACTGAAGCTCCCTTTATTCACTAACCAGACAGGAAGCCATTAGAATGAAAGATTGTAGGAAAGACTGAGGAATCGTAATCATCGCTCAGTAAGTTTATCCCAGTGGGAAAAAAAGGAATCCTCTCTGACTAAGCCAAAGTAGCTCTCTTGGGTATCTGAGCGTATAATTTTAACTTTAAGGGGAAAAGCCAATAAACCAATTAAACCATGGGTAATAAACCAATTAAATGAAGCCCAAGCTTCAAGAGATGGTTGTCCCAATTCAGCTCAGAGGGCCATCCCCACTACGCAAGTCGGAATCCCGCAGATGGAACGTAGGAATTTATGAAGAATTGAATCCAATCTATCTATCAATCCAGATTAAAAGGTAAAGGTTTCTCTTGCTCGAAAGCCAGTCGAGTCATCTCCGTTTCAAAGCCGAAGAGCCGGCGCTGTCCGAAGACGTTTCCGTGGTCCTGTGGCTGGCATGACTAAACACCAAGGCGCACGGAACGCTGTTACCTTCCCACCGAAGTGGTACCTATTTATCTACTTGCAATTTCTTGCTTTCGAACTGCTAGGTTGGCAGGAGCTGGAACTAGAGATGGGAGCTCACTCCATCATGCGGCAACTCGGGTCTTGAACTGCTGAACTACCGACCTTCCACAGCCTGCAGTTCAGCGTCTTAACCACTTGAGCCACCGCAGCTCCTCCAGATACCAGACCCATATAAACTTCACAGGGCCACCTTGGCATTGAACTGTTTGATGGCAGCTGAGATATAAATATGAATAAAATATGAGAGATAAATATGAATAAAAGAAATGAAGGACAATATTTGCTGCGACCAGTCTTTTAACATGAGCAGCTTGCACTGACCAAGTTAATCTCTGGTCAAACCAAACCCCTAAGTATTTAAAGCAGGGGACCCTCCTCAATATCACTACCATAATTTTTCTATTTGCGGTGTACGTGAGATCCCCCCCCTCCAAAAAAACAACTGTCTTGGATTTTTAATAGTTGACTATCAGGTGTTCTTCCACACTGCAAGAGACAGAAGCCTCTATCAGAGACGACAGTCCAGATGTTCTTGAGAGAAGAAATGCACCATCAGCAAAAAGGACAGAAATGTCAACGTTAGTGAGGCTCATATAGGATATAGCTAGATCAAACCCCTCATCTGCAAAGAAGAAACAACAGTGGACTAAAACCTTTATAGAACTACTAGTAAAGACAGAGAAGAACACTACTTGGGCATGGCTAATAAACCAATTAAAGAGACAATGAAAAGCACATGGGTGGGGGGGATTAGTTAACACTTCTTACTCTCTGACAAATTCCATAAAAATTCACACAATGCAAGAGAACAAAAAAAATCTTTACCTGTTCTCAATCTTTAGGATATTGCTATGGATTAACTGGAGGAAAAACCCAAACAGGTCGGAACATCTTTCTTTCAAATAAACACCCTAAATCGAAAGGAAAAAAACAGATATTTGCTAAAGGGGTGTGTGTGTGTCATCCGTTACAGTTATATCAAGGACATTCTAGGATTTCCCGTCTGTGGCAAAGCAGAAGCATGATCCAAAAACGCGAAACACATCTGGATTTTTGGGTAACAGGCAGTTTGAACATACCAAGATGCAGCTAGCAAAAATACAGATCCACAAAGGTCAGAATCTATTATTTTCTCAAGATTGCACGCTTTACAAGCAAAAACACGGATAAAGCAAAATTTCCAAGCACAGGCAAATATCAAGCTTTTAAAAAAAATAAAAAAGGTTAAGTTGGTGCAGGGTCGGTTGCAGGCAGGCCTCTAGCCCGGACTTTTTGTTTTGCAGGGCATATTTTTTTTCTTGTGGGGCAACCATTATGAGGGAGTGAATGTAAAAAGAATACGTACCAGTACTCACGCTGTATGTGATCAATACGCTGGAGGTAGCTAGGTTATACATAAATAACACGCAAGTTTGCTGAAGCACGCAAAGCTGTATGTTGGCATGGTGTTCGGAAGAAATCTAAATTTCTGTTCCACACACACATACCCTTCACATCCACCCAGCTCGGCACCCCTGCCCCCCCCCAGCCCTTCCTAAGGTCGATTCACTAGTCTATTGCTTAAGAATCAAAACCCTATGAATCCCCTCAATCTTCCAAGCAACCAAGCCACCTGTTTCCTTCCCAAACCTTTAAGCGGCTAGTGGCACTAAAGTTGTGCGCGAGTCTACATTTGACTATCGCATAAATTACTTTCTTAGAAGATTATTTCTGTAACC